AAAAACCAAAAAAATATGAAACAAAATACAGTACGAAGAGAGAGAACGCTAATCTTGCTCAAGGCGACTTCTGGCGTGGAGGACAGGAAGGTGGGTGGAGAGGCGGTTATTGCTTGGAGGGAGAGTCCCCCTCCCTACAGGAAGCCACGACGACGTGTCACGGGAGGGAAAATGGCTGCGGATCCTGTTCGTCACCCGATCCGGCGTTCGTGAATGGAAGCAAAATTTTGCGAACAGTGCTGTTCGTGACCCGAATTGGTCATGAACAGAAGCGTTCGTGACCCGAGGTACCACTGTATGTCACTTGATTACTAATAGGTGATTCACCTGAAATACTTCTACAGGTAGTCCTTGCTTACCGACCACTTGTTCAATGACAGTTCAAAGTTACAAAGGCACTGAAAAAGGAGACTTATGACTAGTCCTTGAAGTTGTGGCTGTTGCAGCATCCCGATGATTGTGATTTAGGCACTTGGCAACTGGCGTGCATTTATAACAGTCACAACATCCCATGGTTACAAGATTGCCATTTGTGACCTTCACAGCTGGCTTCCGACAAGCAAAGTCTATGGGGAAGCCAGCAAGAAGTCACAAGTCATGGTAATGAGACTTTGTGCTTAATGACCTGTGGTGATTTGCTTAATGACCGCAGCGGTCAAGTGATTTTCACTTAATGACTGTACCGCTTAGCAACAGAGTTGCCAGTCCCAATTGCATTCAGTGAGGACTACCTGTTCTAGCTCCAATGGCAAGCATATCAAGTAAAAGCGGAAAAACACAGATTTTCCATTAAGCAATTCCCACAACAACCAAGTAAACCAATATAAGAAGTAGGAGACTCATTAGCCATAGATCTAATGGAAATGAATATAACGCTCTGGGAATTTCTATTCTGTAAATTTTAAGTTCATGTTTATGAAGGAGCATTTAGATGCCTGTGAATAATTTATTTAAGATAATGAAGCACTGTGTAGGATATGTGAAAAAATATTGTAAGTGTGACCCACTCTTATATGGTGTCATCATTTTAATACTATTTTGTAACATATTTGTTACACTGAGTTAAATATTTGCATCCCCAGTTTAATGAATGGTGTAAAATAACACTAAACACAGAGGGGTGTTAGCCTCATAATAATAATGCACACATTAGTACTAGAGGAAGCACCAGGATTTGTGGGCCCTACATTTTAAGGGATTTTCTATCTTTACAGCTCCTTTCCTCTTTCTATTAATTATGGTTTTGTGTTGGACAACCCAGAGAAGAAATGCAGTAATTTGAATTAGACTTTCATTTTTCTGGCATGAAGCAGGTAGGTCTGGGTTTACTCCATTCTAATTTTCAATGAAGCTCCAATCCTAATCAATTTATCTGGAACTTCAAAATCCTGTAAAGACTGGTTCTCCAACAAAACAATCTTTTGACATTTACATACAACACCGTGATGGAACTCTCTTCTAGAAGAAAGTCTACTTTTCTCCAAAAGCTTCCAGTAGATTATAAATATACTTCCAAATGAGATATCTGAAAATCCAGTGATTAATGTATGGAATTGTTTCCTTATTTTGTTTGTGAGCCAAAGTCTAAAATTACACAATAGAACAGTGACATTCTAGACAAATAAATATACAATATTCCTAACTATACCTGTATATGTGGCACAAAAGCTGTGAGCTTATTAGCCCTGGTTGTCAGTTGGCCTCTGAATTTAAGGGATCATCATGAATTCTTTGTAGCAGTTGCCTTTCTTATTTATAAATTACCAAGGTCTTTTCCTCCCCTGTGGAGACAAAACAAGAAACAGATGTATTATCATAATATTGTCTGTTATTTTCAGCTACAATGTTAAATAATATATTCTTAAGTACAGAACCTTTTAAGTTGATATTGGAACAAAATTTCAAACTTTGTATAAAATGATATTTTAATGCCAAGTGTTAGATTGGGGTGGACAATTTTTGATGGCCATACCTATATTTAGGGGGTAGAGGACCATAAAGCAAGTGGGGCTATGTAATTCATACTGGTAAGTATGAATTTTTGGTAGGAATTTAGGGAAGTTTATTTTTTTTGTTTAAAACTGTGGATTTCTTCTGCTCTCTACCTAAAAAGATTAAAGACTGTGTCATTAATTTTCAGCAATTTTCAACAATCACTGCCAGGAATGCTCACCTCTATTAGATATAACAGAAGATATGGATTACAAGATAAGCAACCACCAGTTTATTACAGAGATAGCAGGGAATTAAACTTGCAACAGAAGTTTCAGTACATGTGCTTCATGTACAAAATTAAATCTCTCTCTATATCTATGCACACAGAGAACTACATCTGTACAGCCATCCTCAAGTTTTAAGAAATTTTCAGTGATCCTCTGCCAGATCCTTAGAAATGAAGATAATTGTGAACATAAAAGGGGATTAAATTAATCTATTTATACTCTTCTGCTACAGCAGAACAGAACATGATGTAAGCAGCCTTTGGGACAATAGCCAAATACAGAGAGTAAAAGCTGGCTCAAATGCCAAAGCTCCTAAATACATCAAATCTAGTTTACTTTTAAAATGTATATCACCTATCAAAAATTATAAAAAGGCAACTTTGAAGATTAAAAAAATTACTTAAAAAAAAAACACCCATATGTAATTGGGTACATATTTTACAGCCAAGTTATTAGGATAAATCCAGCAAACAGCAAACCTACACGGATAAGGCAACAATCTTTTTATTTATTATGTGCCACCCAGATTTGGAATGATGGGGACAATTAACAAATATTGTAAAGGACAGCCTTGGATAGATTGCATCCTTTTCTGGATCAGGAGACCCTTCTTACGGTTACTCATGCCTTGATTGGACTACTGCAATGCACTGTTCATGGGGTTGTCACTGAAGACCATTCAAAAGCTGTAAACAGCCCAGAGTCGTTTCCATGAGATGGGCAGTGACAAATTTGATAAATAAATAAAAATAAACAAAAGCTACAGCTGGTTCAGAATGCAATGTCACAAATTTGGAAATAAGGATTAGAATTTAAAACCATTTTATGAAAAGAAAATATAAGACAGTTATTATGAGTCAGAAGCAAGGAGCTATAAATGGATTTGAAATAACTCTTAAAACCTTTACCTGCAGTACTGAAATCCTTTTAAAAAGTGAAGATATATTTTTTTTTCCTTGGGCTCAAGAATAGATAAAAATAGTCAACATTCTAGAGAATTAGAGAGAAGGTTAATCCTAGGAAACAAGGCAATAACAAAGCTAAAAAAGATCATGAACAATAAGTATATTGTATGTCAGTGAAGATCAGAATAGCTAAAGCAATGGCTTTCCCAGCAGTAATGCATGGCTGTGAAAGCTGGACTATGAGAAAGAGTGGCAGAAAAATGGATACTTCTGAATTAGATTAGTACCATAGACTGCAAGAAGATGCTATCTACCAGTCCAGGAAGAAGTAAAGACTGACTGCTCTCAACAGAACATGACTACCAAGAAGTCATTCATATCTTTTGGGCACATGAGTGATAGTGGTCTAGGAATAATGACTATGCTTAGTTTGGCTGAGGGGAATAGAAGGGGATGACAATGGGTAAGACTGATGAATAGCAGCAAGGATATCACTAGAATATCCCTAGAAGAGCCACAGACTGTCATGGAGAACAGGTTAAGATGTAGAGCATTTGTACATATAGTCACTATTAGTCAGGTCTAATTCAATGTCATCTATCATTGCATCAATTACTTACTCTATTTTAAAACTGGAATGCTCCAAAAGGTAGCAGCATTGTGATTTTGTGAATTGTAAGAGGCTGCCTCTAATTTTTTAATCTATTAATGGGTTTTCCCCTATTAATTTTTGCTAGCAATTCATTTGAAATGAAAAAGAAAATGGTGATAAGCAACTATCAGTGACACTTTGGGGTGAATTATAATATTCCCTAAATATCCCTTATTGAAACAATATTATTTTATGACATTTACTATACATTTTCCCTATCACTTTGGCCGAACCATCTAGTACATATAATACAAAAACATTTATTTATGTATTTAATTTGTATGGCTCCCCATCTCACCAAGTGACTCTGGGTGGCAATAAATAAATAAATAAATAAATAAAATTAAAATAATACAAACATTAAAATACATTGCAGTTAATAATAAAGCACCCATCTTAATGACTAAATTAACCACGAAATGGGTCCCTGAACACACTTGGGGCCCCAGGCCCAAACAGAGAGCCAGATTTTTAAGGACTTAAAAAAAGCCAGCAGGGTTGGTTTATATGTCAGTTTGCATGCAGAAATGATTGGATAACCAAAAAGCTGTCTAGAGTAAAAATCTAATGGGGGGGGAACCCCTAAAATAAATAAACATATTTTGAATGGAAGTGCTTCTTCTCAGCTCCCATACCTTCTTCCCTTATTAGAATTTTAGCATCTTAGTATATCATAGTTGTGCATTTCTAAACTAGCTAAAACATCTGAGGCAGGGAAGTTATATTAAAGTTATTTAGTAGTAATAGACATACCCTTTTAATATATAATGAGCAAATACTGAAGATATTGTGACCAAAGATCTTATGCTGATTATCATCAGGAACACATCAATGTATTATTTTCTCTATTACACAATGACACTGTACATTATTTTCATGGTAAAAGCCAACAATTTAGTCTGCCTTACAAAACAAAGAAAAATGCAATCCTATCACAATGTAAGAAACAATGTTTACAAATAAACATCCCACAGTTTCAGCATTACATCATGAACTGCAATACTGTACACTGAATGTCATGCAAATATCAACACTAGCTTTCATGTCCTTTTTTCAAAGCTGTACAGAGATAAGAAATTATTAAATTATTCCTCACATTACATAAACATAGCTTCAGTGACAAAAGATGTGGCATTAACTTACCACACATCTCTTAAGGATGAAGACTGCATCTAAACATTCAGATTTTTCACCTTAAATCCGCAACACTCCAACAGAACATTTGCATGGCAACTGTTACTAACAGCGTCTAATGGTAAGAATGGATGCTTTAAAAGCTATAGAAAAACATTTCATGTTGTAGTGCATCCTATTTACTTCTTTGAGCAGATATAAACAAACCTTAAAAGACATTCTATTCAGATACAGGCATTGAACCCTGGGCAACATAGTACCTGAAATTTTGTACATTATTTATAAATATATACACATTCATGGAAAAATAATTATTTAATGTTTTGTTTCAAATAACCTGTCTTGACAGTTTCAAAGAGATTTTACTAGTATTTTATGTTAAAGAGATGTTTACAAGGACATCCTATTAAGCCATGATTTCCAACCAAGATTATGAAGAGAAGCAATAATTTTTCCTCTTATTTGGTGGTACAGTGCTTTAAGTAAAATGTAGCATACTCTGCTTTTAACACACTTTAGCATATCCTCTGTTCCAATTTTGCAAAAAAAAAAATTATTAAAGTATAAATGTAATGTTATAGTACAGTGAGTTATCTGCTTAAGATGCACTAATTTCAATGAAAGAAACTTAAGCACGTGTACCACTGAAATAAAGTGGATATAAATTGTTTTAATATGCTTAACTGGCTAAGTTATACCCAGACAGAGTTAAGCATGCTTCCTAGGTTCACAGAGAAAAGTATGCAAGGGGAAACAGCTGTAGCCAACAGCTATTCTTCAGCCAATGCAAGCTGGTGAACTTTTCAGTATTCAACAAACAACTTCTATGTAATGAATGCTATGATCAAAATCCTGAACCTTTCAGACTGAGAACACTTTTCCTATAAGTTAAAAGAGTAAGCCACCTGACATTTTGATTTCTAATTAGAAGATGTTGAACAATTTAATTTGGAAGGCTTATCTCCCCCCCCCCCCCGGTTTCAAGGAAATGGGCACAAACTCAAAATTAAGACCACTGAATAAATTAAAAGGCCTCAAGCAGGTCATGGACAGATAGATAACAACACAATTTTAAAACTCTGCACAGCATGGTAAACTCCCTCAAAGGTACAACTAGATTAAAATATATTTAAAAAATATAAACAGAAGTAGTATTAGAGAGGCTTCTGTATGTTAAAAAATTATATTAGAATTAAGCATTTTTGTATATCCTCTTATGCTCTAATTTTTATTTTCTGTGTATTTGCTAAAATGATATAATAATTGTATAATTTAATAATTAATATACCACTTTACGGAATAAGTAAGCAAAAGTCTTGTCCTGAGGAATTTACAACCTGAATTTCAACCATAGAAGAATATCAAGGTAGAAATGGAAAGTGATATTTGAAACAGATGAATGTGGTTAAATTCATGTGGTCCATTCCTTTATGGGTTTCATGACTTGCAGAGATCATCATTGGGTAGTCTGACATTCTGACTACGTTTTGGACCCAAGTAGCAATCTACTAGGTTAACAGGACCCTCAGATTTTCATGATATGGAAGTCTGGGAATTACACACAAAATCAATTATTTTACAAAAATGGAAGTATGAATCTTCTTCCAAGATGCAGCACAGATGCTTACAAAATGTTTTCTTGAATACAGAATGCAATTTTTAAATAGTAACATAAAAGAAAGTTATTTGGAGAAAACTTTGTGCTAAACTACTCAACTTTCAAAATAGTACTCAGGCTCTATTTTATCTTATTAAAGGTTCCACACAGAACCTTTAACATTACACTAGATATTTAAATAAAGTTCTACAATTCAGTCCTCTATATATTAACTTTGAAACAAAGCTAAAAAAGCTAAATTAAACTTACACCAAAATTATTATAACTTTTAAGAAAGTTAATTTTCTTAAAGAAAGAACACATCAAGAAATTGACAGTTCCATACTCAATATATAAAAATAATTAATATGAGGGAATCTTAAAATCAAAAGCCACAAAATACATTTCCCTTGTAATATTTCAGAAAAGTGCCATTCTAAGTCAGCAGTAAGTTATGTGATTCAAAATAAATTACTGTAGTTTATAAGTAATTTGAGAAAACAGCATATTTGGATTTACAATAAGGTAAACTCATCATAAAATGAATGGAAAATTACTTACAGAAAGTAGAACTTGGTGGGTAACTCTTTTCTAACATATTTGTGAACTGAAAAGAGGATCAAACTTTTGCCAGGAATATTTTTGGTCTGTGTAAATCATTAGTAGCTTTCTGTTTTCAAAAGTTCTTTAACTAATATCATCAGGAAAAACAGCTAATTGGTACAAAATTTAATAGTGAACAATATCCAGCCTTTCAAACATAATGTAATTTGTCATATAAACTAAGAAAGAGGTGCCATATTTTCAAAATAAAATTAGCTCAATAAAATTGCTCTAGCTTTGTGGGGCATTTAAATTGTGCTTGTTTTGGAAAACATTCACTTCCTTAAGCCAATAGAAAGATCTATTACTTTCTGAAAATTCATATGGCCGAAATTATGAAAATGAGTTATACAGATGTAAAGGCCTGCATAAAACAGTATTTGTTTCCGTAGTTCTCACTGTCCATCAATGATGACTTATGCTGTTATAATGTAATGCATTTCACTATCAAATAATTCAAAACAAGCAGGAAAAGTACATTCTTAACATGAGAGAACTCGTCTGCTTTATATAAGTAGTTAAGAAAGCCTTAAAGAACAATTGCTATGTGCATATACTCAATAATATTATAATACAGAAAGCATTCTGATTCGATCCTAGAAACACAATGGAAACTGCTAGGGGAAGAAGGGAGCTCTTAAGGAAGAATGTCTCTGACATTCATAGAGTTTTTCAAGTTAAGCTTTGCACTTAATCTCACATATTAAACTCTTTTATAACTCTAAGAATTATAGTTATAATTCTCTATAAAATAAATATTTAATATTTACATAACATTGAAGCACTTTGAACGTTGGCAAAAATTACTAATTAATCCTTACTTCAGGTCAATGTTATCTCATTAAAAGGGGGACTGAGACATAGTTGTTTGCTATGTACTAAGTACATAGCTGAATAAGATCTCCACCAGAGATTCCAGGATCATACACATAGAAAGCCAGTTTGGTGTAGTGGTTAAGGCATGGGCTAGAAACCAGGAGACCGTGATCTAGTCCCGCCTTAGGCACAAAGCCAGCTGGGTGACCTTGGGCCAGTCACTCTCTGTCCTAGGAAGGAGGCAATGGCACACCACTTCCAAAATCTTGCCAAGAAAAGTGCAGCAACTAGTCCAAGCAGTTTCCAGGAATCAACAATGACTTGAAGACACAAAACAAACAAACAAACAAACAAAAAAGTCACTGCACTACAGCAGGATTTGTAAGTGTATAACAGCACTATTCTAATTCCAAAAGCTGGCCTCTATAAAGGAAAGACCAAATAACTGCAGTCTGTATGTCAGGGAAGTGAACTAGTGAAGATTTTTGCTCAAAAACCGTTACAAGAAGAAGTGATGATACCCTATAACTAATATAAACAAAGATTTAGCACAAAGGAGTAACTTAACTAGTTTTCTTCTGTTATCTTAGTTATCCAAGAAGATATGAGGAAAGCAGATATAAAACCTTAGTATAACTGATATATAACCAAAAGACTAGGAAAAAAATTCTTGCATTTCAGTCAGTTAAATGGCATTTGTGTTATGGAAATGGAGGAATAGAACTAAAAGGTCTAGAAACCACAGACTGTGCTATTTCCCTTCTTTAGCAAAGACAAAAAAGGAAAAAAAAAGATTCAGGCAGAATACCATAAGTCAGGAAAAATTAGCAAAAGATCTCAGGATGAAAAAAAAAAATCTGTAATCTGGTATGACTATTATGTTGGGAGCCCTGACCAGCTCAACAATACCGCTTGTCTCTTTGCGGCACTAGCCAATCTGAAAGCACTGGCAGCAGAGAAAGGCAAGTACTACACCCCAAGCAGTGGCAAAAGAAGGGGACTAAGAAGTCATTTCATACCTTTTAGGGGATACATCCTTTTTCTTCTTGTTAAAAACTATATTAAAGTTTACTTTAACCTTATTATGGTCTTACAGCCAGAAAACACAATATACATCAAATATGTATATCAGACATACACAGAAATTAAGTGTTTTTCTGTATAATATCTGGCATACATATTTGATGTATATTGTTTTTTCTGGCAGTAAGACTGTATTAAAGTTTAAACTATTAAAAGAAAAAATGGCCATGCTTTTTCTTCCCATCAAAACAAGTGGTTTTTTGCAACTTATTTCTTTCCCACTTTCCTCAAAGATAGGAAAAAGAATCTCCTTTGTAACTACACATCATCAATTAAATAACACAGGGACATAAAATCTTTTTTTACTTTACTATCTGAATGATAGGCCCATCACTACTTTACCTGAAGATAAGAAAGAGCCATTACTATAGTGATGAATTCAAGAGAAAGCTAATGCTTCCCCCAGATGCTACTCTCTACCTCTACCTTGCTTTGTTTCCCCAACTTCCAAGCACAATACTGAATGTAAACAGCAAAAATCCGCTAAAATAGTCTTGGCTTCCCTTTGGTCCCTCAGCTAGGTCTGCTGCAGACCCCAGGACCATCATAGGTTCCGTCCCTGTGAGACCAAAGAATCTGGTCCAATCTGGTGGACCAAAGAATCTGGAGAACCTTTGCTGTTAAAAGCAGCAGATTAAACGACGATGATGATGAAAAGACAAGACAGCAGCCCCAGACCTTAATACCAAGAAGATAAAACCCACTCAACCCAACGAGCTTACTTATGAGTAATAAATACAGACATAAGATTGTGCAGAAGACCCCAATGGAGTAGCTTAAAAAAAAAAAGTTCTGCAGGCTTTTTTAAAGCGGAGAATTAAATTCAAGAATGAAACTGGATACAAAACTCCCTTTCCGTCCTCTCCATCCCCCCGGCCCCAGAGCTGGAGAACACAGAGTAATGAAACAGAATCGTCACCTTTTTTCCTTGGGTGGGAGACCCGAAGAGAGCAGAGTCCGGAGGTTTCCCATTTCGGAGTGGGGAAGTTTGACTGGCTGAGATACGGGAAGCCCTAAGAAGCTCGATTTTGCAGAAAGGGCCGTGGCTGGGGGCATATTTTTCGCAACCTAACGACCCCCCGTTTTCTTTTAAAGAGAGAAAGAAAGAAAAAGAAATAACCGCGTTTCGCTCCCCCCC